ATTCTTAGAAAGCTATTATCGAATAAAGTATTAAGAGGGCACTTATGATAACTTTTTTTTTGTCAGTACGAATCAGTTTTGTTTTTTTCCAAAATATAATTTGTATAGATTATCAACAAGAGAAAATATACATCTATATAAAAAATAATTACCAAAATATTAACAATGTACAGTGTAGAGTGTAACAAAGTTATTCATGTAAAGGAAAAAGGAATGTATGACGTAGAAAGGAGAAACATGGAAAAAAAACCTTAGTATCCTTTTTACAGTAGCCGTTATTCTTTGAGATTTTAATCTTCCGGTGAATCCAAAAAAGAGGGGAAAATAGGTTTTCCTGTTCTTATTGTTTCTTTAATGAAGAACACTGGTTCCTAGACTTTTTACTATTCACTCAAAGAGCTTAACTAATATCATTTAAATGAGCATAAAGTAATTGTGGATGGTGATGTGCAAAGTTAGAAAAATGGAGACTAAAAACAAACGAGACAATTATGGAAAACATTATTAATGACAAATATATCGCTCTTTCTCTCTCTTAATAGGAATAAAAAATATTTCCCTTTCATTTTTAAGGCTAAGCTGTCACGCATAGATTGCAAAAAAAAGAAAAGATTAATACCTATCGTTATTCCGATAAAAGCGTACTAATTTCATGACATCGTATTACTAGATATCAAGAGAAGGATAAAACATTAAAATAAATATGTATTTACCCTTTGAATATATAGATTCTTTAGTTGTTGTTCATAAAATAAATGGAAAAAGAGTTTCATCAAACCATCTGTATGTAAAAAAAAAAAGAAAAAAGCACGTAAAAAAAAAAGAAAAATAGCACCAATCACCAAAGAAGCAATACTGTTATCGACAATCATAGCAACAGTAAGGGGCGCAGCTGATTAAAAGCTTTGACGCTAAAAAGTGATTAAGGGGGGCTTGAAAAATTCATTCCATTTCACATGCATAAATTTCGATATATAATAGGAAATTATCACTAGAATAAGAACAATATGAAACCCTAAAGTATTGCATTAATGACACCTATTAGTACACTGCCGTAGAAAGGAAGGAAGAGGGACACCAACTACTTGTACCCACGCCAGCTCTGTACTCTTCGCCAATAGAGCTTCATCCCGCCGAAACCATATATTTCTTTTTATTTACCTTTAGCAAGTGTCGAAAAAATTTATGTGTGTATTATCAGTATTACATATGTACATGTGCATTTCAAGAGTACAATGTCTCACTGCCAGCTATTGTACCTCATTTTCTAAAGGAGGCAATGTACACTGCTTACAAATTGCTTCATGAACCTGCAAACGATTCTGTGGAAAAGGACGCTTACAGAATGTACACTTCACGAAGTTAAAATGTTTCACAAGCTGTGAGACGGTGAACTTTGCGCGATAGGTGACCATCGGCATCGCAGCCTCGAGGAGCTCTGAATTTTCCGGATGTCTGCCGTGTCCGGTGGCGATAAGGTGCTCCACGAGATCCCCATAATATAGGAATACCTCATAGCAATTGACCTTATGACCGGGACACTGATAGCAGAATATAATCGCATTATCATTGTACGGACTCAAACTCGTCCGTCCACGTGGGGGGTCAAACATGCCAGGGACGGAGCCTTCGGAGGCGTCTATTAGTACTTCCAGTGAATCAGGCATCACTGGGGGGCCAATAATATTTTTATGTCGTTGAATGTGCTCAAAGTGTGTAAGAAGGTTTGTCTTCTTACTCATCTTACTCGCATTATGCATGGGCTTCAAATAGCCTTTGCACTCAACACAATAGCTAAGACAATGCTTGGTGTCCATTATATGATTCACCATTCGTTTCCATGACGTGAACAAGTAGAAACACTCCCAGCATTGGTATACCACAATATAGAAAGGTTCTTTACCGCTCTTTCCTTCGGAAGTTGAGCCGGAAATGGTTTGTTCGATCGGCTGAATCAGCGGACGATGCGTGAGGAATGGGCTTGCGGAAAATATTTCGCCTCCACACTCGGTATCATGTTCATTTGAGGGAAAGTCAGATGTTTCTTGTGGGGTATTTGGTGTTGATATAGTTTTCTCAACCTCTCCTTCTTCGATTGTATTTGGCTCTTGTTTCTTCTCAACAGGGGTCCGAAGGTGCTGGATCATATCCCGAAGGGAAAGTCGTACATTGCACGTCTTGCATTCGGCCTCGTCTGCAATACATTCGAGGTGATGAACAGTTCGCATATGTTCAGCTAAATGGACGGGATGTGTAAAGGTAATGCCGCACACACAAGTGTATTGTAAAACACAAAACCCAGTGAATTTGTTGCGGATGTTGTAATGAGAAAGCCCTTGATTTTCAAGCAAATAGTTCTTTTTATTGTTGAAAACCCCCCAGAAGCCCAGGTGGTCTGTGATTTCCTCATGTTTGTTTGGCCGCCATGGACCAAAGCAGATAAATAACCTATTGCACTGCGCGCACCGAGGGAGGGTGTGCGTGGTGTGCTCCAGATGTTTCGTCATCTTGGTCCACGTATCGTAGCAAAAATAGCAGCTCATACAGCGAAATGTCATTTTCGACACATTATACCCATTATCTTGCTTCATCACGCTAGAGGATTGGGCGTTTTCGTGCGTGAAGGCGGCATGCCGCAGGCTCGTCGCATCCGTCTTTTTCACAGGCTCCAGTCCGTAATCTTCTGGCTTACCCGGCCGCTTGAATGCATCCTTTTCATTAATTCGAATGTCAGGATAGAGGGCCAGATGGGAGTGGCTGACCACGTCGATCTCTAAAATTGGTGATCGCGTATGCAAGAAGGCATCGGTCGATGATACAGTGCTAGGTGCAGGTCCAGAAACCGCCGCTTTTATCTCCTTTGCTTTGTTTGTTTTCAAAATTTTGTTGATGCTCGCACGGAAGGCTCTTCCCACAATGTATGTATCACACAGCGGGCATTTAACTAGTCCGTGTAAGGTTTCGCACATATGCCGGCACATTTGATTCATCGAGCAGCATAAAAAATTGCATTCCGGGCAGCCTAAAACAGTGTCGTGAGTGATTTCTGGCGGATCTGAAGTGAACATTTGATAATATCTTCAAAAACTACAGTCCTGATCACTCTTCCTATATTATAGCCACTGAAACTCACCAATGGGCCTTTTGTCCGTACAACACTTCTTTCAGAGTCTGTTGATATATGTATATACACAAGTTTACCTCCTTACAATATTTAGTGTATGATAATCGTAAAAGCAACTTAATGTCAAGCAGAATGGGAAAAGTGTGTGAGATTATATATCGTTCTCTCTATATATGGATATATATAGATATATATGAGATAGGATATGAATAGCTACTTGGTGCTAATTAAGAAAAAGAAAAAAATACACCCCAATAGTTAAGGGTAGCTTTTTTCTTTGAAAAATCAATAGAGCATAAAATATGTGGTAAGGCTTCGTGGCCTTAAGGGTACTATGGCAAGGGGTTTGTATATAAAAATGAAGAATTAAGTTACCCAGTACCAGTTAATACCTTCTGATTGATAATAAAATATGAATGATTATAGGTTATAAAAAAATTTATGTAAAAGGGAAACACAATACTTGGTTTACTGAACTAATGCGAAGCCACAGGAATTTGAAATTTAAAGAAATACAAAAAAAAGATGTTTCTGTATAACGTAAGGAAACAGCGAAAAAGAAGATTGTTTTTTCCACGTTTATTGGAGAACGAGGGTATATATAAATATTATCCCTTTACATAAAAGGAATAAAAGTACAACAATTTTCTAAATGATTATCACGTGGATTTGCCTATTTTCCATGCACAGAAAAGCCACTAAAGAAAGGGTAACTTTTAAAACTGAATGCTCAAAATTTGTGTCTTGACAACCAACACGTTTGTGCCAAGTATATAAAGTAATGGTATATGATATTGAGTTTCAATAATAATAATAAGTGATATATTGATTAAGATTGTCTGAATTATTGCTACTATGTTTTAAAATATTCTAGGTAATAAATGGTAAAGTTTTTCCTTTTGAATGTATTAACAATTCTTTTAGTTCAAAAAAAAAGTCTGATCTATTTCTGTCAATAATACTGAAAGGCGCAAAAATACACACCAAAGACCTATATGTTTTTCTGTTTACTTTTGTCGTTAGCTTGATTCACAAAATGAAAAAACTAAACGAAAGATATATAAATTAAAATTAGAAGATAAAAAAGCTTTAGGAAAAGAGAAGAGGTATACTTCTTGAGATGCTCTCATAATATTGATTTAATCAGCAATGGTTATAAATATCAGATAGATATCTATGCTTTATTATTATTATTATTATTAAGTCTAAAGGTGAATAAAAATATTATCACTAATATAGATATCTAATAAAATGCAAGAAATAATGCTTTCCACCTATTTATGTGTACAAATAGATAGGTATAAATAAACAGTCAAGTAAATGTTTATATAAACAGCAGCAACACTTTCAAAAATTACGCAGATATTATTTTTGTCAACAGATTACCTTCGTCCTTCAACATAGAATGAGGTAACCCCAAAATCCGATTAACAGCATATTCTCTGATGCATCCCCACACCAAGAATGAGAACTTCTGCTGTGCGTCAAGATCCGAACTCTGGATGTATGGGTACTCCAGAAGTAAGTACGCATGTACAGCCTCCACGTCCAAATCGCTCGTAATCTCGTTCACGGGCTGCAGGTAGTTATGAATTGAGATATAAAGCTCCCGCGCCGTCGGGATCTCGGCGACCGCGCGGACGGCGATGAAGTCCACAATGAAGATGTCTTCCCGTGCCTTAGAGCACTCCGATACGCGGTGGACGCGATGGTGGGCCCGCGTCGAGGACGATGTGGCGAGGCCGCCGCGCCGCGACTCCCCAAGGGTGTGGAACTCCGGAATGGCCCCCAAATCCACCATGCCATGCGATTCATTCGCATTGAAGCGAACCGTCAGCGTTTTCTCCTTCCGAAAGGTGTTTGCGCTAGCTTTGAGCTTCACATTAATCGATGGCTTTGCCATCCCGGCCGCCTCTTTCTTCCGCTTGAGACGAGGGTCGGTCCTTTGCAAGATTTCGATCAAAATCTGGATGGCGATCCCGTTCGAGAGGTTGATGTTGGTAGACAAGACGTCGCCCTGGTTGTATTTGGGGTAGAATATCACCTTGACGTCGCCGAGGTTCCGGGCGTCGATCGCCAGGGCGTCGCTGATGCGCTCACAGCGCGTGTCGGCCTCTTTGGGGGGCTCCCGCTGGGGAAGGGGGTCCACAAAAAGCGGTTGTGTAACAGGAGGGGGGGTCGGGGGCTGGTGCAGCGGCCACTTCGCGCGGCCCGTGGAGCCGACCTGCAGGGTGAGCCGGCAGAGTTTCGTCATCATGACGTTGGCGAGGCTCAGGAGGACGACGGGCTCACCCGCCGGGGCCTTCCCGGTCAGGTCCGGGAAGCTGGACCAGAGGATGTCCAGACGGAGCATCTTGTCGTCCACGGACCAGCTCGTGAAGGGGTCGAGCTGGCGGGAGCCGGTGAACTCCTTCATCACCTGAAGGATGCGATCCGGCTTGAAGATGCTGCAATTGTGCACGATGACGGAAATGGTTAAGGGTAGCCCCTCAATGGTGCCCTGTCGACAGGAGGCAATTTCGGCGGAGTTTACTTTTTTGCTCAAATCGATGAAAAGGGTTAGCGACTCATATCTCAGATCACCCGCGTTGGCGAAGTGGCATACTACATTATTGGCGTTGGTAAGCTTGTGGAATGAAGAATCTGGAGCATGCATCGCTTCGCTTCTCTCGTCGAATCGTAGCGCACGGTGTGGTTACAAAAGAGTTCAAAACCTATACAAACGTTTATCTAGCTATCTATTTATAAATAGATAGCTAGAAAAAAGCACCTAGTTGAGGAATATATATTTTTCCTTCAGCATAAAGTTGGTATTTGCCTTTATTCTTAATCTTTCAGAAACACACACAAAAGGAACCATAAGGATAAAATCTTGAACATGAGTGATATCCAGGTTAGATTAATATTACTCCATTCCTTATCCCTCTTTTCGTCAAATTACGCACTCAGTTAGGGAGTGGAGAGAATTTATTTATTATTTCAGAACGGGATATATATATATATATATATATATATATTTGAGGGTTAATATCTTTCAATATCTAACACTGTAGATATGACGATGCGGACCTATACACAAAAAATTCAACTATGATTAAGGTTGCCATTATTAACTATTTTGCCGCCGATTTTCATCCAAAAATGTTTTAACTGCTATTTTAGCTTCTTCTTTGATGGACGTTTCCTGACCTTCACGAAGACCCAACTCCTCTTGAAGTTCTTTAAGGACAGTTTTAAAGGAAAGTGTGTTCAGATCAGATGAGGGTTTGGTCTTCAAGACACGAAACACAGCGTCATGCACCGTCTCCTTATCAAGTTGTGGTGCTGGGCGGTACGCATTAAATTGGATACGACAGACCATATTGCCGTTGATCACGATGGGTTGGAATCCTGAAGAGGTGCTCACCGTCAGCGACTTCCCCGACGACGAGCGACCAAAAGACTTCGTAGGATCGAAAGTAATCTTCAGCCGCAGCGTATCCTCATCCGTCTTGGTGCACAATACGTGCAAATTTCGAACTTTACTACCTGCGTCGCCACTATTTAGCACGCCTTCCTGATCTTTTCCACTCGAGGTCGATGCGGCGTCGGTAGATCGCGAGCGCTTTTCCCCCCGCGCGCGTTTTTCCTTGTGTGGGCCTAAGTGCAGGGCGAGGGTCATGCGCCCCTCCAGCATGCATGGCGGCATGGCAAGACTCTCTTCCCCGATTACGCCCTCAAAAAGCACGGTGACCTCATTCGCGGCGGCATAACGGGCAGAGAAGCCGTTCCCCAAGTCGACGGCACCGCCAACTGAGAGTTGGACTTCAGCTGGGCCGCACACCGCGATTTTGTCCACGGCGAATAGGGCGTTGGAGGGCCGATAGCAGTTCAGGCCACACATAATCCCGGTCTTACCAACGGCCTTGTTGCCGACAGTTGACGCGAGCAAAAAGGAATTTCCCGAGGAGGCTGGCCATTCGGTCGTCTTTGCGAAGTCGATTTTAATCGCCAACGTAACGCCATCTTCTTCAATACGCCAGACGCACCCCTGACCAACCTCTTGAAAGTTGTCCGTTCGTAGTTCCGCCACGCCATCTTTTCCTAGATTTCGCTTTTCCAGACTTTTGGTGAATAAATTAATCCCGATAAAAGCGTTTGACTTACCCAACTGCTTGTTCCCAGAAGAGGAGCCTATAATAATCGTCTTCCCAGAGGTGCTCTGCCCGAAGTCTTTTCCGAGATCGCACAAAAGATAAAACACCTTTTCTTCTACCACGAAAGAAATATTTTTGGAACCTGGGAATGGTGTCGCTTTGGTTGTAAGAGACATTCTTAATTTTCCCTTTTTATAGATTCGATACGGATATAATGTATTCCCCTATATATGTATGTACTCTTACAAAAAGTTCCAATCGATATTCATTTTTTGAAGGGCAAAGGACAAGAAGGTAAAATAAAAAAGGCCACAAGATAAGCGCAAAAAGGTGAAAAAAGTAGCACACCTAAATTTGAATCACGTTATTACGTTTCACACGTCTCTTTGGACTTCTATAGCCTGAGAAAGAATAGTCTGTTTCTTAAGGTGGAATGAACAATGCTCCTGTATGAAACCATTTCTATAGTTTTATGCTAACTGCACGGCTTTACATGATATCTTGCTAGTATACATGTCGATATATATATTATTTTTTCTTGACGTTCTAAGATTCCTGAGAAAGACAGGTGTAGAAGCAATTGGCAAATTGCTCCTCTTTGAGTGCATGGCTCACTTCTGCATCTTTGCAAACACAATCACCAAGGATAACTTTCTTCATTTCCTTGTCGGCTTGTACGCAAAGATGAACACGCACTCGAGCTGGAATAGCCAGCTCGGCGTAGCTTGTGCCCCATTTGAGTCGTGTCTCAGAAGTGCCAGCGCACCGTCCTGCGTGCGAGAAAGTATTCCGCCTGGGTACCACACACAGCGTAATGCACACATCCGCCATTTCTACGTCTACGCCGGAATTTGCTAGGCTAGACGCCATAGGAAATAGGGGATGCGAGGCTGTGAAGCAGGATTGGAGCTCTTCGTTGACCGAGCGCAATGCGGCTCGCCGCGCGGCCGTTCGGACGTCTCCGAACAACAGGTACGATTGGCTTCGATACACCTGAATAAAACGCTCCACCACGGATGAGTAGAGCCGCCTTACGGTTGGGGCGGCATGCCGATCATGCAGCATCACGAGATAAACCATCGGGCGCCCTGGCCATTCGCCCACCGTGGGGTGGGTGGATTGGGCTGAATTCCCGTCGTCGGGCGGGATTACTGACTGAACCGCGAGCAAAATGCAAAGCGAGAGCTCGGCAACCGTCCACAATCGCGCGTTCACGGGGCCACCCCGCAGGCCTAACGGCATCCAAGGCGAAAATGAGGGCGCTGGGGTATGCGGCAGAATCAGCGGCGGGCCATCCGGCGCGGGAAGGGGGAGCCACAGCTCCAGATAACAGGCAACCTCGGCGCTATCCAGTGATACGCACAGCGAGGATTCCTCCTTCCATTGTCGTTTGGGTTCTCCCCTTTGTAAGACGTGGCTGGCTTTTGGCTGGCCGCCGGGTGGGGACAACGAGGGGCCCACCTCACAGGATGGGGCGCTCGTGGGCTTGCCTTTTACTTGCCCCGGCGTGTCGAGCGCAGCCGCGAGAAATCGACCAAAACTCCCAAAACTCACCATGGAAGCGTGGGATCGCACGCGGACCTGCCTCGGTCGGCCCCAGCCGATGTAAAACGACAGGATCGAGTGCAGCCACTCCGACCCCTCTTCTGCCGCCTCGCCGTCCCGCAGAACGATTGTGAAGAGCCCCGATTCGAGCTGGTCTAGGGTGTAGGCATTGACCGGACTCACCTCACGGAGGCGGCGGCGCAGGTCGGCCGAGACGTCGTCGTGCAGCGTCGACAGGCGGCCCAGCAGCCTGCCCAGGGCCACCCGACGCTCCTTTTCGTCAGCTCGCGCCTCGAACTCCACCATGCTCGCCTTCCGCGCGCGGGCATGGCGGCGTATGGCCTCCAGCCCATTTTCTAACACGTGCGCCGGGACCAACGCCTCGTCGTCCTGCCGATCCACAACGCGAAGCCGGTAGTAATAATCCCCGCAGCAGACGTTAATGTGGTCGGCAAAATCCGTCTGATGCACCACAAAGAGGCTTCGAGGCTCGTTTGGCTTCATAAATTCCCTGCCGACATCTTCGGGCGAGGCACTTCGCACAAAGGCCGTGTCGTTTTTCGCGGATTGAGGACCACCGTAGCCTTTGCTATACACAGCGTGTGAGAGAAGCCGCTCCACGTCGGGCAGGAGCTCACAATCTACCAAGGACGCCACGCTCGAGCAATGGACGTAGGCCGAAATAATTCGTCGAATCATCGCCGCGACCCGAACGCATTCCTCAGAAGGAGCCGCCACTGGGGGGGAATCGGCATCGGCTTCTTTGCTAATCGCCGAAGCGTCGTCTAAAATGCTATCGTCGGGGTACTCAAAAGTAATCTCATAAAAAGGGTACAATGGAGTGCTTGGGTATCGCTCTGCAATGTCCCGCCACCACCACTGCTGGAGGCTTTTGTTTGACAGGCGTGAAATGAGAGATCTTGCGACCTCATTACTAGCATCATTCTCGCTTCCAACAATAGCCGAAAGTAGCGAGTTTTTTGTCTCGTTTGAAAATAAAGCATATCCATCATTGACTAAAAATGACTTTATCTCAGACAGGATGGATGGTGGAGGAATTTTTTCTAACCATTCCTCATATTTTCTATCGTATATGGAATTGTATGCACCATACGGTCTGCCGCCGTAGCGATTCATGACATCACTAAAAGGCAACAAATCGTTATGAGCCTGTGGAGGCTCTTTGAAAAATGAACATTGCTTTGATTGGGACACCTCTGCTGTCGCACTATCGTTCCGCTCTTGCACGGAGCTTCGGTCCTTATTTTTTTTCCTCATTGATATTTTGGAGACACTATGAGATGTGCGCAATAAAGAATACAAAAGTGTGGATAAAACGGAAATATGAAGGATGGTATTTGTACAACCAAAAGGAATTTAGGACAAAGTACGTGTGTTCTACCTACAGAACACGCTATGGACTATTCATTGTCATCCTGAAATGTGTTTGAGAGTTTTCCCTGTTCTCACCTCTTTCTAAACATGACACTGTTTAATGTTTATATGTCGAATACCATTGTACAGAGTGATATAGGAACCGACGTTTAGGAAGAGATGCGGACTATGAAGAAAAGGGGCATAGAGCTTCCGATCGAAGCATAATTTATCATCTCAACTTTTATAGGATATTAGATAGCCCTAAAAGTTTTGTTACTTACAAATTAAGCACAAAACCCATAAGTTTGCCCATGCTATTTATATCTGAATTTCTTAATATGACAAGCATAAGAATGATAATACTAATAAGGGTTCATTCCCTCAATAAGTATCGCAAGAGCGACAAACAACTGCTCATGCATAACAATATAAAAGTACCGACAAATCGGTGACCTGAAATGCGTCTATCATGGAAAAGCAAGCGCGAAATGAGAATATAGAATTCTGTCCTCCACGTTATTCGTAATGTACTCAGTGCACTTCATACATAAAATTTCAAGTTTTCGCGCTGCATCGTAGTTTTTGTTCTCTTTTGTCTTATTGATCAAGCCCTGGAGACCTTTACCTGTCTTAAAGTTGATACCATGAAGAACGAGCGAGTGCCGCAAGTCAAGAATTTTTTACCTATCTCCAGGAGAATGACGACGCAAAAAGACTCTATCAGAATGGTAGACATTTGTGGTGTTGAAATATTTGAAGTTGATGACAACGTCAAAAAGAGTGAGCTGTGAATAAATCTCAGTATCGTAGACCCTTGTTTAAACACAGACAGTTTACCAATATCAACTTTCCCCTTATGTACACCGTTTTTTATGCGGATGCCTGAGGACACATCATAGTGCTTTAGTATCTTTTTAGGAGGATAGCTCGTAGAATGTGATATGAATATTACGTCTGTTAGAAAGTAAGCCTATACCCAGGAAAATAGTCCAGAATAGGACAAATTACGAGAGGGAGGAGGCTGGCCAGAAACAGGAGTAGAGATCAAAAGATAAAATGCACCACAGAACCATTCTACGCACAGAATCAACAACCTATTGATTCTATCTTCAAATAACAGGAGTGTTTTTAAGACTGTATTGGCTTTAGATTCCGATTTGACCAATCAAAAATATGCGTTGAAAATTTTCTTAGGCAGCTCATTTTGACGGTTTTAGTCCGTTTCCGAAGACACGGAAGAAGAGTTTAGAAAATCATCCAGGACGAACGCCTGAGTGCCCTTTTCATCTTTTGAAGATCGACTCTCGGTTTGAAACGACAGTTGAACTTCGTTGAACTTATTTTGTCTATCGTTTCGAGACAGGTCGCTCTTTTCAAACAGAGGACTACTACCCGGTGAGGCCTCATCGTTTCCTTGCGTTGGTTCGTTTTGTGGGGTCTGACCTTCCAGAGCAGCCTCCAGGATGCGCAGCGCAAAGTTTCGGAAATGCGGTGTGTGCTCGGCAGTCACGCCACCGATTAAGTCCCGTCGAATATCACACATTTGCAGGGTTAGGCGATACTTCACCACGGCGTCCGGGTAATTCTCCCATTTCACACTACTTCGAAGTCCACCTATCGAATGAAAGATCGGGAGGTGATGAATCACGGCACGGGATGCCATGCTGGAGCCGCACGCGCGTTCGGCCGCAAGCTGGGATGCTATCTGCTCTTCATCCCGACCGTGAATGCCGGAAATTTTGTTTTGCACGCTCCACATACCGTGGCGTCCACCGAGTTCCCTAGCAAAAACGTAGTCAATCACTAAACGAGCCAGGATCGAACTACTAAGCGCACCGTTCCGCGAGCTCGAGCCGACAGGCGCGGAGGATACGAAATTTCCTCCCCATTCACGCGTTTTTTCCGGCATGGCAGGCTTCCTATCTTCCTCTGTGATATTTTGGCGACTCATCTTTGCAGGTTCGTGGTGATTAGAACCGCTGACATGGGCTTCCTGAGAGGGCCTTTTCCGCTTATGCTTACCCCTTATCCATATTTCACTACTGGCCCCACCGTCTTCAGCAGATGTTGTCGTATTCACGAGAAGTTCATTTAGATCCATGTGTCCGCTTATGATTTACACAAATTTTTCTATGTTTACTTGGTGAAAAGTATAGCAAAGTGTCAATAAGAAAGGGTAACAAAAAGAGCGAAGTAAACATACAAAAGTTTAAAATTAAATAGAGTTTAAAGATTGAATCCCTTTATAATTAAGCATTTTTTTAATTTTTTTTGTTTTGTACTGAAGTGAAATTAATCATTACTGTTTGTTGGATAACAATCTAACGTTTTATTTGCTGAGTTATTCATTACAAAAGCATCAACTTTGTAATAAAGAATTTGGTTTATTTTCCAGCTGTAAGTTGACTCATTCTCCTCCTCCGCCTACACACAGATATAGTATTATCGACAGAGGATTCTATACGGGATTTATCTGTGTAAGTAAAGTTGATACGCTCTACTTTAGCAGATTAATTAAAGGCAGAGTTGGCTCTAAACTATGCCATTAACGGGCCCTCGTTTCGTTTTTTTTTAATACTAGGCACCATAGGAAAAGTCAACCGACAGGAGTTATTTTCACTCACATGTTCATATTTATGCAACTAGTGCACTCTAATATAGTAGTGTAAACCATACTAAGTCGGTAGATTAGGAATTACAAAAATCCTGATGAAAGCTAGAAATTATATTTAGAAAAGATGATGAAAAAACAGTTACTTTCTTTCAAGACTCAATCATATACAATCAGACCCCTAGCCAATGTGAATTCAGCTCACCAGCGTTTTGTATAGAGTTAATCTAAACGCTTTATTTATAAAAAAAGCGAAGGGTAACATTTAATGTTAAAGCAACATTATTTATACGATTTAAAATTTTAGTCAATATTCATTAAATACCGCACGAAAATCGGTAATGTGCCCCATCCATCAACGAACTATCTACCATTCGCTAAATTTTTGACTTACTCTTCAGAACACCAGTCATATTATAGACCCTCGAGACCCCTTGATATTTAACTTATACCATGTTGTTGCCTTAAATAGAGAGAAAGAACCGAAGACATTGAGGGGACTGTGTAGGATGGCTCATGTAGGACATTTTTTAGCCAGTTATTCGCCTTTTTAAGGCGTGCAGCCTTTGCAAGTACGTCCAATGTGTCACTTTCGGTTCCAGAGCTCTCGTGTTGCCAAGCAGCGTCATTTCTGAAGTAGGAGGCGATCTTTTTCTTGTCCTCCTCAGTTGTACTCTGCGCTTCGGCGCTTCTAGCCGCATCTTCTATAAATTTCGCCTCCTCAAGCTTACGACGTTGTATCGATACGTTGAGAACGCGAAATCCGGAGACGTTGTCGATAATAGCCATCTGCCGCTCTTTCGCCTCCGTGTTGTCACCACCAGGCAGAGTCGCCATGTGAAGGATACGACTTGAAATGGTACTTTTCACCACCCCAAGGATTTTCCCGAAAGAATCCATGGTGGATGAATCGATCTCGACTAAAGTGTGATCATCGCACGCAATCAGTAGGGAGTGGGGAGTAAACTGGCATAATGCCGTGATGGCCGTACCACCCGAGGTCGAGGGGGAAATACAGGAGGGATTGCTCCTCCCAGGGGAGGCCAAATCCCACAGAAAGACCTGGGCCTCATCGTGGGCCGCCACCACCCTATCGGTTTCGTTCAACAGTAGGTTTTTCAACGGCTCCGTCGAGGAGTTTTGAACCAAACAACAAACCTCCGTCCACGGCTCCCCCGCGTGGCATTCCGCCACCGCGTACACGTGCACGCAATCGTCCGCCACAAAACAAAGCGTCCCATCCGTTGAGAGGGTCATTTCCGCCATGTTGAGGGTGGGCGTGGGGTTTGTGGATTGATTTTGCCAGCTGCGATGCGGCGTCGCGATGGCGTCGTTGGCGTCCTCGACCACCTCCTCCCAGCACTTCACCGCTTCCCTGCTAAGCGTGAAAACCCGCTCATTCTTTTTGTCCACACAGAACGCCAAGATTTCGCTTTCGTGCGGTTTGTAAATGGTTTGGGACTCCACATGGCGCTTTTGATTCGCATCATAGGTCCAGAAGCGCAATAGCGGTGGAAGCGATGTGGGGGTGAAGGACTCATAGGTGACTAGGATCCGTCCGTCGCCCAAAAGACCCGCGTGGCGGATGCCATGGCGTGGTAAGGCGGGTATGGTCTCCTGCTGAGAGGAGATGTGAAGCGAATAAACAGCCTGCTGGGTCATCGGGTCGCAAATCCGCAGGACGTTGGGCTGCCCCATCACCATGACGGCCGTTTGCCCCATCCACCGGTCCACGACGAGTCCGCTGTAGGCCCCGCCGGACCCCCATTCAATGCCCTCCACGGCCCCCTCCACCGCCATGCGGAGGAGGTCGACCCGGGCCAACGTGGCGGCATCGCAGGCCAGGAGGAGGGTCGACCCCGCCGAGCGGGAGGGGACGACGCCGCGGATGGCGCCGAGGCCGCAGGTGATCTTCCGCCGTGTGAAGGCGGCGGTCTCCCACACG